TTGAGTTTGTATCGTACTGCCAACAACAACCATATACTGGCAAAGATCCCTTGTTTAAGGGCAAAGTTCTCTAGAATTTTGTTCCATTCACTTGTTTATTAGAATGGACCGAAGCATTCCTGTCTAGTTTTCCTTTTTCCCATTCATTTCTTCCTTTAATTCTCTCTTTTTTTTTTCCATTTCTCTGACTGCTACAGCACTGATCTCACGCAATTCTTCAACGCTGACAAAAAATGTACAGGCAGTAAATTGTGCATATTCTTTTTTCAGCCTCAGATTTATTCATCCAAGCGATAAAATTCCAAATTTTTTGCCCGTTGTCAATTTGGTAGAAAAAAAAATGGCAAAATTTATAATAAGAAACACAAACCCTTCCGCCTTTGAAGAGACCTGAACAAAAACTACCAAGCCCTCTTCATGGGTTGCTCTGTCCACCAATTGTGTCGAGCTGTCCACCACTTTTGTATAAATTACTTCGCCAAGTCCCAGCAATATAATTTGAAGCTAAAATACGTAAAATAATAACGATAACAATGCAATGCTTCTGAATTCTTCGCACTTTTTTCAAAGATACTTAAGCGATCTTTTTTTTTTAGTTCCCTCTGAGGCTGCAATATAACTTTAATAATTTTTTTTTTGGTATGATATGAACGATATCATAGACGATTTCGTTGCCTGAAGTACGTGAATGATGCCTGAATATTCTGTGAATTAGCTTTATATTTGAGTTTGCTTTTGCATCAAGCAAATTCAAAACACGTATAGTTGTTGGTTTACGTGTAACATAAGCAACTGGGCGAGGCGAAGTGGTTTAGCCAGCACCACTGTTTCCTTGTCGTTAAAACCTCGCTCCTTTTGTAACATACGGATATGAATAGCAACTTCTTGCATGGGCAAATCCTCCATAAATATGATGTTACACGAGTATGGTAAACTTTGAAATAAGGCGGCGAAAATGCTGCCAGCTGTCGCGATGGCAAGAAGAGGTGCAATGATAAGAAATTTTGAGATCAATTTTCGTGTTTTAAGCACCAATTTTCAGATTTCAAAAAAAAAATAAATGGCAACGCGCACCAGACTAGCCGGTGCGATCATGCGTTTTGTGTAATTCAGCCAATCGAACGATTGCCTATTAATGATTTTCACTGCTTTGTGCTTTAGTCTATGCAAAAATAGTTCAAA